AACTTTTGACGTATTTTTTTAATATGTAGTTTTTATATCTTATTGACATACCAATTTGTAAATAAAATGATTTTAAAAAACATGAAATTTTACTCTGTAACCCGCAATTTGTAATCAAATTGGGGACGGATGGAGTATATTCTACTCGGGAGAGGCCAACTTGAGTAATGTTAGAGTCATAAAAAATAGTTCACAAAATTTACAAACTTACCTTTTTAACACTTTCCTAGAAATACGATACATTTCAATAATAAAAGATATTTTAATTTAAAATCAAGATAAATTTGTGAACTATATGTTTGTGACTCTAGCAAATTTGTTTGTGAAAACGAATCTCTCCGCCAAAAAAAAGCACATGATCCGATTCCATGACCGAGTTTTGTTACGTTTGTATATGGCCGTACTGCACCCACATACATCTCGAGTGGGTCAAAGAAGGAAGACAATGGATGATGCATGTATTGACCCATTGACCCAAATCAAGCATGTTACCCCTCCTTTGTCCTATACTACGCTTTTATTCATACTTTCATATATATATATATATACATACATACATACATACATACATACATATATATATATATATATATGTATGTATGTATGTATGTATGTATGTATGTATGTATGTATGTATGTATGTATGCTCATTGTCCCATGAACATCCCCACATGTGAAGTTTAGATGGTACTCAAGAAGCTCGCATGAGTACGCTGGTTCAATGTGAGGATGTCCACCGGGCATGAAGCGGCTTCTAAGGATCAGATTAAGACTATATCATGATTTATCTCTTCACAATACTTGGGCCGGGATGTAGGAGCGCCCGGGGTGGATGTTCCCCCTTTTTAGATGGTATTAAGGAAGAAGTTTTAATAAGTTTGAAATCTCAATAATGATTTTTGGTAACGATAATATGCGAATTTTATTCAACGTAGTGGCTTTTTGTGGAAACTAGACACGAGATGATATCTCTAAATATTAGACTAAAAGTTCATTCTTCGTATTACGAATCACCCCTTAATTACTACTTTATCTGGTCGAAGTGGGTGGGGTGCCTCGGCCAGGTGCTCGCTCCACCCCTCATTGTCCCATGAATGAGACAGCAATCATTTATAGCTATATTATTATTCGTGTATTATACTACTATCATTTCAGAGTAGTTGTCTTATTTTATTTTTTTCGAATCAAACTGGATAAATAATGATTATTAATTAAATAAAAAATTGTATAAAATACGGAGTATATGTTAGTTTCAAGTTATCGACTAATCTTTTGGTAAAATAGGAATCCATGTTGACCGGGAATATTACTAGGTAGAAACTTCTACTTGTTAAAAGATGTTTATTTTGTTTAGACTTCTATAGTTATTGCAATTGCAATTTTCAAAGATGACATAAAAGATTAGGAAATCATCCTAAATAGGAATAAAACCAATAGAAAGTACTAAACTAAAAGTTCCATAGTTTTATTCCATAAATAGGAGTTTGCATTGTGGTAATGTGACACTGTGCATTTTATTATACTTTTTTTAGTGAATGCATACATTTTAACTCATATTTTGAAATAAAAATATAAAACTCCTATTTTAGTATATTTTTAATATTTTACTATTACTTTAGTCTTTTCCCCTAAAAGATGTCCTTTAAGCGCACTGTGACAAGATTAGTTAGACTTGTGTGAGAATTGGAATCTGCCATCTGTAACTTTACGAGTAAGAGAACTATTGGGACTCCAAATACTTGTGGATGTAGATTCAAGAAATAGTATTTAAGACAACATCTACATACATATCCTGCTAGGATTGAGGTGGAAAAGGCATATATAAATGTTGCAATTTCTTTGAATATTTTAAAGCGATTGAGAGAGAAAACACATAATATTAGTTGATATAAGATCTTCTCGTGCATCCCGGAGTCATCCCATGCGTGAAGAAAATGTGATCTTCTACATGAGCAATGAGATCTTCGATGTCAAATAGATTGTAACATCTAAAAACTGAACTAGAATTGAACAAGTGGGTTGTCAATACATTTGTCGATGAGATCTCGATGGAAATGTGATAGCTAAAACGGATCCATTCTAAAAGTCCTGATTAAAGATTTTTTCATAAAACTTGAAAGAATTATGTTTCATCATGTTATTATGTATTGTTGTAATTTGTATATAGTGATATAATGAATTTCAATTACATCATTGTGGGCCTCGGAGGGTAGCAGAATTTCTCTGAACTGCGTAAACATACATGGTGTCATTCTTATGCTTTTTATATTTACAACGCTCTGCGCAGTAGGTGTTGTAATACTTTTTGAATCATCTGCTTCTGTGTGATTTTTTTGAGTCCAAACCTGATTTCAAACCAGAGCACGACTCTAACTAGATATGGTTATAATACAATTAAGATGATCTTAATAAACTTATCTTGGAGAGAATTATCAAAAATTTATTTCATAGTGATGGATAATGAACTCCCCCATATTGGGCCTTCAGAATGGACCTGGGGCAGGAAGCCGATGAGCAAGTTTAGATCTTAGTCTGGAAAACATTTCGAGGTCGTCTCGCGTTGAGGGACGAGCATGAAGCATCAAGGGTCGATCGAGCTGCTAGCGATGCAAAAAGGCACCACGTGGCTGACTAAACAACTCATCTCACTACCATAATTATCCAAATTGCCATAAGTCCCTTATATTGCTCCACAACTATCTTTAGTCAAGTCCTCCTAAAATACCTCCTTAAGAACATCTCCAATTTTGTTTACTATATTGGCTTGTTATTTTTATATTTTAACAAGTGAGTAGTGATATAACAAGTGACATTTTTTCATTCTCCAACCATGACTTGCTAATCCATTTTACAACTTTTGGCTTCCTATAATTTGGAGAGCTTAATATATTTAGCAAGTCGAAGTCATTTTTTGGCAACCTTGCTAAAATTTAACACACCCATTGAATTGGAGAGAAAAATGAGTTGACTTGCTACATTATGGCTTTTAGCAAACCAAAGTAAAATGATTGGAGATGCTCTAATATTCAATCGCTTACCATAAAAATCTCCATAATTCACACCATACCGCAACCATTATCTTTAGCACTCACCTGTAAATACTCCACCACCTTTCTCAGCACGACCAAGCCATTCATACGCCACTACACTACACATATGGTCTATCCATATATGATTATTCTTCTTCAATTATCCATAAAGAGCTTCGAGCTCATCAATGGCTTCCAAGCCACGTGTATATTGTAAATTCCTCCCAAATATATAATAAGGCCCCGTTTGGTATACGGAATTCAAAATATTAAATTGAAATTGAGGACTTCAATTCCAATTTTGGTGTTAGGTAACACAAAATTTATGTAGATTTGGAATTGATAGTGAAAAAATGAATTGGAATTGACAGAATTCAATTGAATCCCATGGAATTTCAATTCCAATTCCATCAATTCCGTATACCAAACGGACCCTAAGACACCTTGTTATCACGGTACCACCGAATGAGGTCTTTGGTTTTTACCAATTTGTGTCAAAACATATTGTGCACACTCTTGTTTATATATTTCCTACATTTTACATTTATATATTTTTGACTAAAAAATACACACCCTAATAACCAACTATTTAACACTCTAGCTAGGTCTATTTGCATCCCTATTAACCGTGGGGGTGTTGGTTGGTACTAGGGGCGGGTGGTGGTTTTGGTGCCGGAACTAATCGGCACTGGTCTAGTTCTGACCTCTTTTTTATTTGAATTTGAGTCTGAGTGGGTGGGTGGGTTGAGGGGAGGGGGGGGGGGGNGTTGGTGGGGAGTCAATTATTTTTCTTTTATAAATACATCTCATTTGTTTTCTGAAATTCACTCAAGTCTCAATTATCTGTTTTTATATACTTACGGAGTTTTTTTGTATGTTTATATATTTAAATTCATGTTATTTATGTAGGTATGTTTTAATATTATCTCATATTATCTCATTTAGGTATTATTCATATTATTTCATAAAATAGCGCATAGAAGGTTCATTGATCTCGAGAGTTTGAATCGAAAAAATTCAAAGAAACGCAATTTCACTATCACATCTGACGGTTCAAGCTTTCAAGTCTCCCAACCAAGAAATTCTGTTTTCAACTTCCCCAAAAAATATCTGAATGACGCCATGGTCAACACATTTTTTTTGAATACTTGAGGTTGCCGACACATCGTGACACAAATCTCATGGATTCAATCGGAGAAAGAAGTTTAGAAAGGATAAGAGTCATCATTTTTCTTAATAGAATATCGTATGATCGCATGTCATCCTATGACATTAGTGACTAATGTAACATAAACGGGATAATCGTTTTTTAATGAAACATGGGGTACAAAATATGGTACACACTTTGATCTACATTACTACAAATGGTGTTTTTAGTCATACTTTGGTGACCAAATTAATAATGATACTTTAACTTTTACGCTAACTTTGATCACATATTAAATATAATTTTAAATAAATAAAAGTTATAAAATTTAATATATTAAAATTATATCTTAAAATGAAGCTAAGTATATGAAATTCACATATTAAAAAAAAATACTCCCTATATTTTTTTTCTTATAGTTTATGATAAAACTATACAAAATTCAAATTAGGATAAATAATTTAGAACCGTGAGAGTAAAATCTAAAAAATATTACTCCCTCCGTCCCAAAAAGTCTTTCATGTTTCATTTTTTGCGCATCCCAAAAAACACTTCTATCCCGCCTTGAATGCCAAAAAACTTTCAAAATAACTTCTACCCACAATAAAGAAGAAATGTTGTAAATTTTAGGCATTTTAGATGTCGGTAAAAGTGTTTTATGGGATGCGCAAAAAATGAAACAGGAAAGACTTTTTGGGACGGAGGGAGTATCACGTATTACAATGAAATGTGTACTGGTGTATATTTTTCCAACCGAATCAAAAAATATAATAGTGGGTATATGGGTCTTGCCAAACACGGTCTTAAACGTTAAACCCTAGAACCCCGGTGGACTGAAACCAAAACCATTTTCACAGTCGCCGAGCGATCTGTACCTGAAGAAACAAAACAATGGCCACCGTCGCCGCCAGGTCCGTCTTCCGATCCGCCACTAGCTCTGCCAGGTCCGCCGCAACCAGACTCTCAACCGGAGCCAAATCCCGGGCCTCTGCCTCCCAGTTCCGCTTCCCCACGCAGAAGCCCCTCACTTCCCGCATCTTCAGGTAATTTCATCTGAATCTCCTTTCGCTTTTATATAAATTAGCCTTACGATTACGAGATTTATCTAGACACAGATTATGAGGTTTCAATTTAATTTATGGTCTTTTAAAAGATACGCTATTAAAATGAAGGTCTCCCGTGGAGCTCGGATGTGTTAGAGTAGAGACTATGCTTCCATATCACACCGCGACTGCCTCTTCTTTGCTTAATTCCATGATCTCAATCGCACCCCGAAGCCGTGCTTGGAGTATTGAAGGTATATATACATATATATTCTGTATTTATTTATCTTAAAGTTTTGAACTTCATATTTCTATCCAGATTGTGTGAATGCAATGTTTCTATCATTCTATGTTTTAAAATTTTAATGCTCTCAGAAGGTTGAAGCTTTCATTTGGATTTATTTCTCTATCTTTCCTTTTTGGGATGCCTGTAATTGGTTGTCCAGCTACTATATTTGGAGAGAAACAAGACACGAATTGCTCAACATAACCCATCATAACATGACCCATAATAAACACGCAGTGGATAGTACTTCAGATATTTGGTTACATATATGAAATAATGAACACACAGTGATAAGTTTTATCATTTTATCATGATTCCTAATTTTGAGATTTTGTAGTATTTTAAAGAATAAACCATTTGAATTCTGGATGGAGGGAGTATATTCTTATGTGTTTAGTAAAAAATTTTTTTGCCATACAGCATTTTGGTATTTTATACTCTATCCTGCTTTAGGATGGTTTGAATATGGGAATTCACAAATCACAAGTTACATGCCTTAAAGGGGTCATTTTGGTATAATATAAGTCTTTTGCCTGAAAATAGACGTGCATGGTCTTCTTTCCTTTGAGCCTTCAACAAACAAAAATCAAAAGCATACCTTTTGAACTACAAATCACAACTAGTTGTGCCCAAGCTCCAATGTTTTGAATAGGTAAATGCCTGGCTCTGGTGAACTGCAAATTCCTTTGCAATTAACAATATGATCAATATCGGGAATTAATAACTTGAAACACATTCTCTTTACTGTAAAAAAAACTCTGTTTTATGAAGTGATTTTAATATTACATTAGTTTTAAGATATATGTCATTACATTATTTTATGACTTTCATTCATTTGGGATAAGTCGCTTACACTTGGTTTAGAATGTACTTATGGATTTGCGCTGATGAACAAAGTAGCAGATAAATCTTGTTATAATCATTTATGTAAGTGGATATGTACAAATATCAACATCTCAAATCCTCCTTGCCCTGACCCATTTTATTTTGGTTGAGTTTCTCTAAGTGGGAGACAACCTAGTTCACCATTTTTCAGTATATGGTGATGGCTGCATCCAACAAACCTATCATTTAAGCATGCTAGGAATTTAAGAGTTTTTTTATTAACACTTTCTCCAATGAGCTTTTTGTGTGCATTAGAATCTAAGGAATTCTTGTGGTTAGATGACTTAGATCATATGGTGTGCCTGATTGACTGTAGAGTAATTCGGAAGTACTATTTTTTGCAGATTTGTGAATCCTGCAGCTTCCCACCCTCATGTAGTTAGTTAATCATGTAAGGCCCTTGCTAATACTTGGTATTTATCAGAATGCAATGATGATGCATGATAAATGCCAATCGGTTCAAGTGAAGTTTTACCTCCATGCCACTCTAGGAGATTGTGTGACAAGTAGAGTTGAGCACTGGAAAAGAAATTTTGTTTTCTTCTATGACTTTTACTTTGCATTTACTATTTTACCTTGGGGTTTTGTATAGGATTTTAGTATGTGGACATGCCTGGAGTGTGGAAAAGCTAAATTCCCTGTTCTCTTTCAAGGGATCATTTTATTTAAGCATTACTAAATACTCCATCCGTCCAACATTTTATTTAAGTGTTACTTCCCATAGGAGAAGTAGAAATTGCTTTGACTTTCCACTTTTACCCTTGGGTGTTTAGAGAAAGTTAATAAAGTATAAAGTGTAGATGAATAATAGATATTGATAAATACAGAAAAGTAAGATTAAGTAGATGCAAAAGTAGGCGATGTATGGGTAGTAGTCAATAGGGCTGGTAATGTCTTTTTAGGATAAAAGATTTGCCAGAAAAGGAAACGGGAAGAAATTTTTTGAACAGGCGAAAAAAGAAAGTGGGAATACAAATCTGTGGAAGGATGAAGTAAAAATCTCGGGTCTTTTCCCAATTGTCATGCGGTTAAAAAGCACAAGTTCTACTCAGTTTCCAAAATAGTGTCCTTGGGCACGGGTGAAATTTACCGTGTGTTTTCAGCTTTCATTATAAGTATCCGCAAACCATAAACATTTTGGGACTCTAAAGTATGCAGTGGGGAAGCATTTTAAATACTTCTCCCATAGATTGTATGTTATTTTCACAAATGCCATCAGTCTAAAGTGATTCCGAAGCCACACAATTTAGTGGTTTTAGGAAGGAAAATATGCAGCGCTTCACTCTTTTGTCTGATAAGCTGGTTTTACTTTCATCTTCTCCTTCTCCCATTTGTGCCGATCCTAAGGCGCTCTATAACCATGAATGAGCTGATTGTAGGTTACTCTCTTCACATGTGATAGGTTTTAGGCCAAAACTATTAACTGTGGGCTGAAAAAAAGCACGTGATTGTTCGCTCTGTAGGGGCTTTGCTCGCACAAACGTTGCTATTTCTTGTTTTAGTTTATCAATATCGATCTTTGACATTACCCTTTCCTTGTCTAGGGCTATGACTCCACCTCCATCTCATTGGCTTGCATTCACAGCTTGAAGATGTTGCAAAGTCTCCGTTTAAAAAACAAAATGATGCATGATTTTGTTGTTTTTGTCTCTAGATTCTTGAAATTTTCATGGGGTTGTTCGTTTATGTGGCCTTACATGAATGCCTTTCTCTTTACATTGTAGATGGATGATTGTTTAAATGTGTTCGTGAAAGAAAACCAAACCCTTCACGCCTACTCCGTTTGTACACTCTCTGAGGGCAATTTTTGTTTGGTGCATATTTCAATGCTTAACATTGAGCAATGGGAAACCCCATAGGGTTTGGATGATCTTGTTATGGTATGCTGAGTTGTTGATTTATTGAATAAGATGGTTTCTAATATTTTTAGATTCTATTTTATTGTTCTTCGAATATGTTTGGAAATTTGTAAGAGACGAATATGATGCCGGAGCTTAAGATCTTTGAATGAAGCCATCGTTTGGTCTGATAAAAAAAAGTCCATGTTTTTTTTCTTGATTCGCGTTCAACGCTATATCATTTATTCTTCATCTCTTTCATTACATCTATACATTTTTGTAGAACTTTTGAGCTAAAAGATGGTGCCGGATCTCTAGGATCCCGAAACATAGTTCCAAAGATTGAAAGATATGGTTTTTGGGGTTTCCAATTCTATAGGCTTATGTGTTCGGGAAGTGTCCACACGGGTAGCTTTGATGGTCTTGACTTCTGAGGGAAAAAGGTTAAGGGTCCATTTGGTATACGGAATTGATGGAATTGGAATTGAAATTCCAAGGGATTCAATTCTATAGAATTGAATTCTGCCAATTTCAATTCATTTTTTGCATTATCAATTCCAAATCCACATAATTTTTGTGTTACCAAACACCAGAATTGGAATTGAAGTCCTCAATTCCAATTCCACAAGTTTGAATTCCGTGTACCAAACGGGGCCTAAGTATGAGGTCTCATTATTGTTTTGGGTGATGACAATAATAATAAATACAACCAATTTTTTTGAAAGGTATAATAATGTATCCAATGTTCTTGAAAGATCAGACTAAAAATATGAGTACCATGAGCAGAGGTGGATCGAGGATTTTTTGGCCATGAGTTCCTAAATTCTCTTACCTTCGAGTCCCTACCTCAAGCTAATTCATGATTTTAGAAATAAACTCAAAAAATATTTTCTATTTATGTCAATGTTAAAATCCAAAATCTTCCTTAAAAAATGTTCAAAGTCGAACCAGCAAAATAACCAGAGTGGCGACCCGCTCGGAGTTTTCCTGGTCAATCCGGAATTCTCGTTTTTTTCAGGGATAAGTCGAACTGGTTGAGATTTGGTTTCCAATTTGACCTATCCAAGTGTCTAATATGGTCCAATTTTAGTAACTTCGATTTACATAGTATCATACTCCCTCCGTCCCAAAATATAAGCAACACTCCACTATTTAAAAATCTTGGGAATTTTTATTTATTTTTGCATTTTCATTGATTATTTGATAAAATAAAATATTCTTGTCACCACTTATTTTGTAGAACTTTTGACGTAGTTTTTAAATATGTAAGTTTTATTTTTCATTTGTAGACCAATCTTTAAATAAAATGGATGGAAAAAATTCAAAAAATTACTTCGTTTAACGTAATGATGCTTATATTTTGGGACGGAGGGAGTAATAATTAACAGTATTGTACAAAGGTAATTTACAATTGGTCAAATCAAGAAGGTACAAATATATGCTTCTTTCCACAAATTAGTTTAGAAAAAAATTCACTTTATTAAGATTTAAACATACTTTTTTAAAATAACTACTCCGCTATGACTTATCTTATCTTGAACATTAAGAATCTAAGAGGAACATCGAATATTTTCTCCATTAAGTGAGAATATGCCTCAAAAGATTCAAAATTAAAATATCTTCCGAATCTTTTTTAATAGGTGCAGATTGAATACTTAAGTTGTGTTTTGTTCAACTTATTTTTTCTCCTTAATACTTATTCTTATTATGATGAGATCAATCCAGATCAGACACATCTTTAATTATAACTACAATCAGGTCAAACCAGATGTTCAAAAAATCAAATAATATCATGCGAACGAAACGCAACCTTACTTGGGAAACCAAAGTACTAATATTAGAATCTATACCACTCTCACAAGTTTTTTTTTTGAAACGAAAATGCAAATTTATTGAAACTCCATCAGTACATATACAAAACACCTGCAGGTATTCAAGAGCTACTACTCCCTCTACAAATCAACTCAAATACATGGTTTTAAGCTTTGCATTAATATATGATTTTAAGTGAAACTGAATCCATTCAATGCATTCCTCACTTGCCACACTTTTATCTTGCTTAATCTTTAAGTTCTCTTTTTGTTGATAATGTGTTCTTACACCACAGCCACATTAGGAATTGATGCTTGGGTATTGCACTCTCACAAGATTTTAGTTCTTTACATTTTGAATGATTTTTCAAATATGTTTGAATTGTTTTAAAAAAACATTAATTAGACATTTTCGATTTATACTTTAAATGACACTAAAATATTTACCTTGTATCAATTTATAGAGTAGAATTAACAAATCATTTTATATGACAAATGGTATAGAATTAAAAAATAAAAATTACATATTAAAATACTAAATCAAAAAATCTACAAAACTAGTAGTGACAATAGTACTTTATTTTATCAAATTGTTAACGAAAATAGAGAAAGAAAATGAATGAAGTTTGATCATGTGAATAACAAACATACATTATAAATTGGGATGGAGGGAGTAAAATAGAGATTCAAACCGAGTATCTATATGGACCCTGGGACTCTTAGTAGATTCGCGTATCATTTTACTCACACCAAACTGCTTGCATGATGCCTTCATGGGCATTTGGGCACTCCATCAAGCCTCCAATAGGGATGGAAAGGGGTCGGGTTTGAGTATATTGAAACCTGATCTGACTTAGGCCGAGTGCGAGTTTGATTTTGGTGGTTTGATTTTGAATATTTATTTTTTGGTTCAGATTCAATTTGATTTTTTCGGGTCAGTTATGGTCAAATTCATGAAAAAATTAAAAATGAAATACATTAAAAATTTAAAGACGACATAATATTTAAGATATTAACTAAAATAATTATGACCGAGTGACCCTTGGAAAATTAAATAATAATTTTCAACTAATAATATACAGAGTACAGAGAAAATAAAATAGGGGTGACACAAAATTTATCTACAATAGAAAAACACAAAGAAATGGAATAAAACTTGCGTAGTATAACACTCAAAACTTAAAATTTTTCGGGCTGGTTTTGAATATTTAATTTTTTTGGTTCAAATTCAGATATTATACACTCTGGTCGGGTTAGTAAAAGTGGGATTCTGGTAGAATTGTCATCCCTAACCCCTAATCATAACACATAGCCCCCTACAAAAAACAATGATAAAAATAGAATAAAATACTACTGAGCACCAAATAAGAACATACAGGTTTCCGAAAATACACAGATAACGATGGATGGAGTCGAATATTTTTACAAGGAAACTGATCCAATTCAGATTAGATTAGTCCTAATGACATAGTAAATCTTCATAAACAGACCCCATAATAACGACAATGATATTAATAATAATGTTATATACCAAACCCCAGTAATCCCAAACTGGATTTTTTTATAAACCAAACTTCCACCCAATCTTCAGCATTCACCAAACCTGAATTTTATAGCCAATAATAATATTAATAAGAAAAAAAAAGGGTAAACTTGGACTTCATTAACAATCTCCTAACCACAATACCCAGGTCCCAGAATCTAATTCCATTTTCTTCACCTAATAGAGAGATAATGCACTTCACATGTTGGGGCCGGATTCTTCGACTGGCACCAGCTCGTACTCGATTAATGACAGGTTGTTATCTTCTTTGACAGTGAAATCCGCAGGTTCGGTCACCTCAATACGGCCCCATTTGTCCACGCCTAGCCTCATCGACCCCTTGAACATGTCAATCTTGGCGTTGCGGAGAATCACAGTGGTTTCTGGCTTTATCAAGTCCACTGCACCGTAATTTAACAATGCCATCATTACTAAAATGCAAAATGTGTGTGTGTGCGTGTGCATACAAATACTTTAGAAGACTATACTCCTTACTCCTAATATTGTTTTTAACATTTATCTTGTTGCTTTAACTAAAGGTATCATATTTAAATTGTTTGTAGCTTCCATGGGCAAGCTACTAAAGATTTGCTTTGTATGATGATGATTCCAGTCATCCAGTGCAAAACTTTGAGAATGTTCTTTTGCATAAATTAACAGTGTTAAGTAGACCATTAGTTGATATTGGGAAGTGCATCTCCCCGACCCAACTTTGGTTCGGATTAAGCTGGTGGTTATGATGATCACTTCTCTGATAGTGCTCATGGTAAACACTCAAAAAAATGTAATCCCATGAATCAAAGCCCACCGCAGGTTAGCTACTTCTCATTATTAGAGACAAGTGACACGTATAGAGTTGTTAGGTCGGGATGGAATCATGAGATATTTGTGGCAGCCTCTCCCACAATGAAATGCAAATGTGTGCATCCTTGAATAACATCACTCAAAATCCAGAACACATTGTTGGAGAATAGTAAAGAGCATACAACTAACAGTCTAACACATTATCATTACCGGAAATAAAATTATTCATTTGGTTATTGTTTTAACACTAACGCAAAAACTACTGAAAAAAGCTCCAGGAACTTCTATGGTGCCTGTTTTTCTACTTGGTGTTGTTATATATCATGCTTTGGTAAAATGTTCTGGAAGGTAATACGGCATTATCAAACATTAAGGTTTGTCAAGTAGCAGCCTTGGAATATGGCTGTGGTGGAAATATAGCATGCCATATTGACACCATATGAAACTTGTAAAGAATGGTGGTCTATGGCAGCATCATAAGGCATCATAACTTAATAACACTGCATTAAAGAACCCTTAGCAACTATCTTACTAAAGAAAATTGGGTGTCATATGGAAATTTTTAGACTAGAATAATGAAGTGGTAGGGATGGTGCTGCATGTATGGGAAGATTAAACAATGTTATATTCCGTATCTGTTTACAAGCATAGGATATTCAGTTAAGGGTTCAATGAAATCTGAGATGTTTTCTACTAGTACATTTGTAGCACATGCTTACCAAACATGTCATTAATTGAGACAGAAGCATTTGGATTGGTATTGCAAACCAATGTTACAAAAAAAAGTATGCAAATCATATGGAACCATTTGATGATTGTATTATGAAACTATGCTATAGTACTAAATAAGGGTGTGACTCATATGGTGCCGTTTGAAATGGTACTATGAAACTATATTACACAATACAAAGGGTGTAAGCCATATGGTATTTGTTGGATTAGTATTATAGAACTATTATGCCGCTCGGATCAGTACTATGAACTATCTTACTAACTAAAAGACGTGTGTCATACAATGCAGTTGGGAATGGTATTGTGAACTAATAAGGGGAAACGATGGTGCATGAGGAAGATGTTTTATCATTTCGGAGAGTTTAAGTAAATTACAACATGGCATGAAGACCGCCTGTTCGCTGTTGAAGATCTGAGAGTAATCATGAGGTCCCTTATACATCTGTATTTAGATCTTAACTAAAATAGGAAAAATTGGCTAAGAAACACAAAATAGAAAACTTCTAATCTTTCACGAAGGGTTAATTACCAGAAATACAGAGCTAATAACCCTAAATACAACACCGTCACCACATTGTCACGAGTAAGCATAGCCGTTTCTATCCTTCAATCCAGTGAATTTATCGAACACATAGAAAACAGATTTCATCAAAACCAAAGCTTTTAACGATTATGGAAGGAGATAGAGAGAGAGAAAGGATGAAAACCTTGCTCGTTACGAGCCGTGAAGAGGATAGTGCCAGTTTCGTCGCCGACGAGGCATTCAGCGATGCGAGTGTTCAGAGGAGGGCGATGGAACCCCGTCAGCGACGTATCGCGGGGCTTCTTCTCCAGCACTGTGTTGGAGTTTAAGACCTTCACGGTGAGGTTGTGGCCGCTGGTCCCGGGTGTCAACTGCTCCACTTTGACGAACACCGGCTTCCTCTTCACAGGCACGACTGCGGCGGAGGGACGGCGGCGACTGGGGTTCCGGGAGGCCATCGGTCGGGGAAATGAGACGGAATGGGTTGGTGCTTTGTTTGAGTGAGGATAGATGAGAAGTTTTTGGACCTTTTCAGTTTTGAGGAATGAATGAGTCGTTCGATTGGTACGGAAACTCCGAAGGAAACGCACTTTTTGCAAACGACATCGTTTGAACAATCTAATTCAAATTTAAAATAATCCAATCTTTGTAGAGGCTTGCAAAATAATCTTATTCCATCAATATTTAACTAAATATGTACAAGTAAAACTTTTTTATTAATTAAGACAAATTTGTTTCTAATTGATGAAAAATTTTAAAAAAAAATTAAATTGAATGCAACTACAACTTCGACGCGATTATTTTTTGTAAACGATAAAAAGGTGGGATCACTTCTTATTCTAGTTAAAATCATTAAAGTACAAAATAAACTAATTTTACATTTTCACAAATGTTGATGAAGCAATAGATCTGATGTTCAACATTATTCATAAAATACTGTGTGTTTATCATTATCAAAACACAATAATTAATAGTGAGTTGGTCGCCGATTGTGAAAAGTGGTTAGCAAAGGAAGATGGGCAACTGTGGGGGGTCAATTGGAGGAGGTTATCGGTTGCATGTGGAAGGCGATAAGAGCATGCGCAGCGGCGAGGCATTTCCTTGCTCGTTGCGCCACATCAGCAGATTCGGAAAATTGCCTCGCGCGGCTTCAGCCTTCCTCCACGCTAAGCGTGTGAGGCGCGAGGCATAGTCCAAGTTTTTTTTATTTTTTTTGTAGAAGAAATAAATTTTTTAAAAAAGAGTACATCTATTTAAAAAAAGATAAATGAAATAGTTTTTAATAATTAAAATGCATTAAAAAATCATAAAAATTGACAAAAACAATGACTTGCCACCTCACTCACTTGCCACACGCTGATTGGATTGTCTTTTATTGGTTGAAATGTGTCACGTCAACGTGTGGCATTCCATTTCGTTACTTGTCATTGCTCGTGCTCTAATATAGAATATGGTTGGCAGCGGGTGGTAGGCGTGGGGTGCGTTGCCTTACCATTGGGACGATCCGGGGGGGGGGGGGGGGATAAAAACCCCATATTGATATCCCCATATTTGAAAAAATCAATGACTCATGTTGAAGGCTTGTGATATCAAGGAGTACGTTTATGGTACAACCGGTTGTGCGAGAAGTAAGGTATCTCTGAAATCTATATAATCTTTCGTCTTCTTTCTTCGACCCGATTGGATTAGACAACGTTCATCGTTGATCCGCCTTCTTTCTTCTTCGCAGAAGATCCGATCTAATCTTCCGCCTTCTTTCTTCGACCTGATCAGATTTGATAGCGTTCATCGTCGTTCTGCCTTCTTTCTTTTACGAAGAAGATCCGACCATAAATTGCCTTCTTTCTTTGACCCAGTCAGAATTAGACATCGCCGATAGGGATTAGAGTTTCCTGGTTCCGCACGGTCCATCCTTCCCTGCCGCAGTGCTACGGACGTTTTCTCTCTCCTGTGCTGTCCAAATTAAACGTCGGTTGTACGGGAAGAACCGTGCAGCCGGCTGTACGGGAAAAACCGTACAGCCGGCTGTACAATATAAATTGCGTGATATCAAAGGATAAAGAGTATAAAATTTGAACTTTGTTTAGACTTCATCAAACACCCAAAAAGGGTTATAGTATCGTGAGATACGAAAACTGATATCTCTCTCATTCACCAAACATACCCTAAAAGAATAAAAGGTTGGGGCACTTCAAGCTAAAGATGGCATGAAAAAGTTGACTGTATAAATAAATCACAATTCGATTCTTGAGAACTACACTATGAGATTATCATGTCCACCATATAAGTTTGTAACTACCAGATGATGGCTCCAACATGTTAGAGATTTATTTTGAATTCAAAATTATATTAAAATAAACGAACACAACTCTTACAAGAAACATGTTCAATCTTAAATTACACAACTCTTAGAAATTATACTTATTTTGTAATAGGATGCAGAGCAAATCAGTAAAACCACTAAAAATGGAACTCTTTGTTTCTCTCAACTTTTAAAAAAATGGAGTTACCAAATTTTGGCCTTGCCCCATGATTTAATTAAGGCTTTAGTTTGAACTTGTGCCAATTCTTTACAAACTTCTTACTGCCACAAGACTTGGTGCTAATCACATAATCAAACAATCAATCTTCTACTATATCCCCCACAACCACATGCATTAACAAACACCAATAGTACACAATGCAATGTACAACGTACCATGTATACATATATTTCCTTACAATCATCATATCACAAGATTTGAGTCCTCTGTTGTTATCGTCAGCAGTGAATACTTCACTTTGATTCTAATCCTGCTGTCCTCCACGAAGAGCCTGGCACCCGTAACCACCCAATACCCCGGCGACTCCTCGGGCCCTCTCACCATTTCTTTTGTATCCACAAAGTGTGTCATCTTTGGAGGCCTTGCTGGTGCAGGTGGCCCCCCGGGGTAAACGGCTGAGTTCAAATCCATTTTCACAGCTTTCTCTGGATGTTGGTTGAGCTTTGTGGTGCTGAAAGGTGTGGTGATCAGCATTGAGATGAGACCCGATTTCCGGGACGAGCTCAGAGGCTCGTCCCACTCTGATCTACGGATCAAGGCGGACCCCACCGCGGAAAACCCGAGCCTCATGAACAAGACCTTCTTCATCCCAATCGCCTTCACCTCGAGCCAAGCCTTGGTCACTATCGAAGCGTCGTCTACCCGAGCCCCATGGTACTCGATTGGGGCCGTGCAAACGTGTGAGAATATGCTCCACTTCACGGGTTCGAAATAGTCACGCTCGGTTTTCACATCAAAGGGCTCGTAGGTGAGATCATCCGTTAGTTGCAGACTTTGTGGAAGGGTAGATAAATGTTGCAAGTGTATGGCTAAGTGATCACTCCTTTTACCTTCCAAGTACAAGCGAATTCCAGTCACAGGCCGGTTTCCAGATTCCACCTGCAAGATTGTATGCATGTTCTTGTAAATCTCTTAGGGTCTGTTTGGATGGAGGGTTTGGGATGGGATGTGAAGTGAAACATCAAAATCAAATAGGCTTTTATGAAACATTCGACTCGATAAAATATGCAGTTGTGAAGCCAATTATGTGCATGAAAATTGTTTTTAAAGATGCAGAAGTTCACCTTCTCAGTATTTACAAATAGCTTCGGGCCCATAAAAGTAAACTGCAAAGATGGAGAACTCTGTTTCCTGCGACGGTGACCAAGAGGAAGATCACCATATGCTGGTGCCCACTGCCGAGGTAACTGAAACTCGAGAAATTGTTGAAGTTCTTCTATTGGTGGTTTGTCTGCATAAGTTCGTTACATTATACAGAGGTTCGACTCATAAAGATGCAACTGTTAGTATAAGATCCAAAAGAATAGCCACCCTCGATTGTCAGCAACCCAGCCCATGTGAGCCACCAAAGCGTTAAAAAGGCTTAAATATGTTTTCCGTCCCCATAAATATGGCATCCTTCTTTGCTTTACGCTAATGTATAAAAATATATTTTTGATTCATCCTCGCAGGTTACCATGTTTTTACCTGATAATTCCTTGTCAACATCTGTTAAAAAAATAAGACTGGACTTTCCATGTAATTTGTTAAAAACTTAGGGGGTGTTTGTTTTTTCTGCTGGAAAAGGTCTGCAGTCTGCGGACCACTACTGTAGACATCTGCAGGAGAAGTGGTGGACCGAAGGTCTGCGGTCTGCAAGAAGAAGACTGTTTGTTTTTTAATATCTGTAGACTACTATATAAATTGATGGTGGTAGTGTACGGTGGTGGTGTATGGACGATTGTGGTGGTGGTGGAGGGTGGTGGTGGACGTTGACGGCGGTGGTGGTGGACGGTGGTGGTGGACGACGATGGTGATGGTGGATGGTGGCGGTGATGGTGGACGGTGGTGATGGTGGTGGACGGAGGTGGTGGTGAAGAGAAGTAGAAGAAAAAATGGAGAAGATGTTAGAAGATGTTAGAAGACATAGGTTAATGTCTTCTCCAAGAGATGCCAGAAAGACCTTTTTGAGTGAAATGTCTTCCAAAAAACAAACAATCTGCAGAGCTCAGAATCTGCGTGCGTCTGCACGGCGCAGACAAAAGAGGCCAGAAGCTCTTCTGGCCAAAAAACAAACACCCCCTTAGTCTTTTTATCTACACAATATAAAGCATTTCGTATCAAATAAAGTGAAGACTTGTGGTAGTTTTTCTTTCAAACAGAGGTTGACATAGAGGGCCTAAAAGGTAAAAATGATAAACTATAGGGATGAATAACAAGCAAAAAATATTACAAGGACTAGAACAAAAAATGCTATTTTTGTAGGGATGAAAAGTACATTTAAAGATAACCACATACCTCACATGCTACAGCCATGGTAGTTTTAATAAAGATAATTACTTAGAAAAATGCTCAATACTCACATCGCAGGTACAAGTTAATTGCATGACCTAAGAATCCACTGCCACAAACACCACTTAATAATGAAGCAATGGGCACAAAGGACATTGAAATAACATTAGGATTCTGTGATACTGTAGACAGCCATTGGCTATGACTTTGGTCAAAGTCAATACCTCCCCGACGGATATGGATGCTTACTATGTCCTGCAACAGAATACATTGTCTTAGCTTGCAGTATCTGGTTCTTACTTCTTAAAAAACACAGTTTGTTGAATAACAAGAAGAACTACAAGTTTAAAGGCTTACATCACTCTTTGAGTGTGAAAGAATAGTGGGCCTCATTGAAGTTGCAACTGGTAAACCAGTATCCAAAAGCATAGATCTTCGATCCTGTGAAATAAATAAAAGAGATCAATGAGTGCAAGGTGGCTAAACAGTTCCTGTATCAAGTGTCCCACGAATGTTGTTGGATGCAAAAACATCCACAATCTACTCTTCATCACAAGATACAAGAATGTATTTCCGAACCTTGATCTTTTGGGTTTGTTAGGAACACGGGAAATACAAGAGAGTTATAAATTTCATTTTCATCGGCAAAGAATAAGAAAAAAAACTTCTTTAGCATTTTTTCCTTTTCCCTGGCATTGATAGTTAGAAGAATGTCTGGAAATTTTGATGCCAATTACCTTATGATTTTCTGTAGATTTATTTGGGTTTGATATCGTGTTTCCATTTACATCGTCTGAAAATCTTTCATCAGCTAACTGTTTTAATAATTTCTGCACTTCTGCAGGCTCAAGATTTGAATTGTGAAGCTGCTTTATGTGGATTACATCCTTTCCTCCCATCTTTACCCCAACAATGATATGGGTCCCATATTTTTCAATGAATCTGGACACTCGTGCAATAAATTTCATAATTTGTGAGTTTCTAGCAACTAAGAGGTAATGAGATTGTGACAGTTATTTGCATGTCATATTTATCAAGGGATAAAAGGTTGTCAATTATAAAGAAATTCAAACATTTCTTTCAACTTAAATCCATGAAATATTGTAGTTTACAAACAGTTGTCATTTCTATATAAACACCTAAATCTTTACAGAGTGAATGATCATTGGACATAAGTGAAAGCATACGGAAAAAAATCCATTTTCAATATGTTCATGATTAATAAGATTCTTTTTCAAAAAAATTGTACTCCATATTTAAAAAGAGTGTCATCCAAGAAAGAAATCAAACACTTCCATAATATAAGTGGATATCATACGAAGAAAAAATCATGGCACTAGCAGAGATGAATAAGTCAAGGTCTGTAAGGATAGAATCAAAAAACGTGCAAATAAATCTTCCTAGTTCCTACAAGAACAACAACAAGCCCAGCATAACCCCAACTTAGTGGGGGTCAAGATGTACGCAATCTTACCCATGTAGAAAATCAAAGAGGCTAAATCTTCCTAGAATGCAAAAACATAAGGAGTATATGGTATAATCTACAATTTAAAATGTGATTTTTGAATCAACAAAATTAGTTCCTTAAAAAGAACATTATGGCTTCTGGTATTAGAACTGTTCTAAATGATCTTACTGAGCAAGGGCAGGTGGATCCCAAGAAGAAGGAACCTCTCTTTTCAATTGCTCAGATAGAGCAAGTTGGCTACGCACCAACTCAACGTTATACAAGGAAATAAACCATCCATCAAAAGCAAGAAGTTTCGTGGCAGCAGCATCCTTTTGCCAGCACCCCTTGTGACCAAACATTGCATTGAATAGACCCGAAGGTATTTTACCAGATAAAGACAGTTCCTGATTGAATTGTTCAGACATCTGAAAACAAGGATAAATAAGATATTTTTCAGATTTCCAAAAGAAAAAAAATAAATAAAAACATTCACCAAACTTTGGTGCCAACTTCAAAAGTCATTCTCTTCCAAAGCAAAGTTCTATAAATTTCAGGTGAATAGAAAAGAAGAAAAATAAACCAAACATGCTACTTCTAAATTCATCATTAAGTTTCATTTACTTAACTGAAGTGAATTTAAATTAACTCAACTAAACTGAACTAGAAGTTGTAATTTTAACTATATAAAAATGGGTTTCTCATATTCCTCTTTTACAACCAAACACAGTAAAAGCTAAGCATTTAAGCAACAAACTGGAAATAACAAAAATCACAAACTCAAAATTCAAGCAACCCAGTAAATTGCAGCAATCCAAATTCAAGCAAACAAATTGGAGTGGCTCCATGTTCATCACAGTAGTAGAAACTAATCAGAGCTCAAAAATGGAAAAAATTTAACATAAAGGGAACAAAATCTCAGACGAGACGAGGAATCACCTGACTGAACGACAGAGCATCAGAGCGAAACCGAGTCCGTTCACCCTTGTCGCACTTGATGGAGGTCGAGACATTAGGGACGACGACGCCGCCGGGAAGGACCAAGTCCTTGGTGGAGCTCCGTTGAATGTTGATCAGACCCGACCCGGATGGCCCGGGCTTGCAAGCTGACAACCGGATATCGGCCGTCAAGTCGTACCCGAACCCGATGACGGAAACCGCCCGCTCCGCCGCCGTCTGCGAGTCCATCATATGGGTCGGATTGAACGACATGGGTCCGGGTCGGAAGAAATTCTGCTCCGATCTCTCTTCTCATGCGGAGGAAGTTGCAGGGAAAGGAAAGTTTAGTTGGTCTTTGCTTGCACTTTTCAAAGTTTTTCAACGTTTGAAAAACGGAATGACAGAAATGACCCTCGTTGGGTTTGGAAGGACTTTTTGCCTTTTTGGTAGTCGTTTGGGTCTTTATTATTGCTATATTAAGAAAAATGTTAGGATTGTGCTACCATGGTTGTACTCATGTTTCACACAGACAAACACATACGATAATTGTCTGTGTCGCACAGACAATTATCGTCTGTATTTGTCTGTTTGAAGCATGAGTGCACCCATGTGGTGGCACCCTAGCATGGTCTTATTATAAATATACGGAGTAATAATTTTTATATTTTTTCATTAAATAATAAGTTTAATTTTTAAAATTTGGCTCAAATTTTATTATGTGTACATTGTACTTTTATTTGAGTTTTATTTTTTTGTAGAAAAATTTAAAAATAGTAACACGCATTTGTGATATCATTTTATTATCATTGGAGTATAAACTAAGTTTACTTGGCATTTCTTGCATTTAATTTTTCATTTTTTTGTTTTTATGTTATTTGTTGAAATATGCTTTCGATTTATAAAAAATAAATATTTTTGTGACATCTTAAAGTTTAAATTAGGTGTGCATGTTTTCATCACGGTTTATTCTGAAACTGAAACTGAATCATCCCGAACTGAATTTAGTGATCGGGATCAGTACAACATAAAATCTCATACCGAAGCGAAATATTTGGTACAGTGTCAGTAGAGACTAAATATGTATAATGATCACCCTTAGTCTTTAATAACTACTTCGCATGTTCTCTTCCTTTCATCAGTCTCATTTCTTATTTATTTTATATTCTCCTCCGTATTTGAACTTGTTTTTTATCTTATTTTAATTAGAATATGTAAAACATTATTGGCATAAAATTAAACTTCCCGTTTATCATTTTTCTCTATCCGTATTTTATCTTCTTATCTCATGAATGAATATTAAAGCATCTAAACATACTCCATATTGTGTTTTTAAATTGTATTCCTAGTACATCTATCTCAAAATATTTATCCATTTTTATTTTTTCCAAATTGAAATTGATAAAGTAGACCTGGCAAAAAGTGACCCGACCTGTTTTTGACCCGAAACCCGACCTGAAAACACTGGGTTTTGAACAAAGGTTTTGATGACCGAACCCGAAGTTGACCGAACCCGAAATGACCCACTAAAAATGGGTCAAACCCGACTGAACCCGAACCCGACCTGACCGACCCGCTAAAGTAAGAATTTTTCAAAATTGTACACTTTTTTACTCGTTTTTAGTGTATAAATTTATATTTTCAGACAAAATTTTAATGATATTGCATAATTATCTTACTTTTTCCCCAAAACATAAGCATTTTTAAATTCCTTATATTGATTTTTATATCTAAATACTACTTTAGAGTTTACAATAAAATAATTTTATAGATTTAATACTTTTTTTGATATTTTAAATTTATTAATGTGAATTTAAAAATTTAAATAACCAAAGTCATAACCCGTTGGGTCGACCCGAACCCGATGACACTGGGTTATGAACATAGAGTTCTCAACCCGAACCCGAATTGACCCGAACCCGAAATAACCCGAACTTGAAGTGACCGAACCCGAACCCGACCTGACCGACCGATTTGCCAGCTCTATGATAAAGTTTCACCATTAATTGAATAAAATTTATATTAGATATTGATACAAGAATAATTTTATTAGATTTATCTTGTAAAAAATTTTAAAATATTATTTAATCTAATTAATATACCACGTAATTTTTATTTAATAACTAGTCAAAACTGAATAAATAATACTCTTCTAAGACGGATGGAATATTATTCATTCATTCAAAGGCCAAGCATATTTACCACAACATGAAATATATTATCAACTCTCCATATTATCTCAAGTCGTCATGCAATTTTAAAGTCTACTTTGAAAGTAAATTTTGAACCACAACTCTCTTTTCAAGCATGATAACATACTTACGCTATAAAAAATATTTATACTCTATAATAAAGATAATTGATTATGCATGCAATTCTCGTACGTATATTATTCACAAATCAGGCAACACGTTCTTTCATAAACTTCTCAAACTAATGATTTTTTTTCACATAAAGAAACACAACATATTTTCCATAAATCAAAATTTGTTTTAGAGCTTAAACAACTTCAAATTTATAAAAATAACAAGCGCACGAAAGTATAACAGTCAAGCAATACCAAATTTTGAGAAAATAACCAACTTAATGGACTAAAAAGTTTAAAGTTCTAAAAATTTCGCAAGCAACATTGCAACAAATGAGCACATGTGAATTCAGAATTTATTTAAATACGAAGTACCTTATTGAACTAAAATAGCTTCAATAAAATCTAAATTTGATATACCGACCTACTCATGCAATCTAATCAACTCGACAACGATTCGCTATGTAATTGAAGAAAACCGGGATGAATCAATTATCATCCATAAAAAAATTTAATATAAATATTTAAAGAGCGATATACACCCAAATATGAACACCCATCATATTTTTTAAAAAATTTTGAAAATGTATGAAAACATGCAAACCAAAATGTAAAATAAAATTCAAATCAACACTATTACATAGAAACAAGAAGATAATTAAAATACTTAGGAGCTGTTTGTTTCATCCTCTTAATGGTTCAGATGTCTGAATGGTTCAGCACTTAATGGTTCAGACTGTTTGTTTCAACCTCTTAATGGTTTAGATGTCTGAATGGTTCAGACGTTTGCCTCTAAATGGTTATGTATTATACAGAGTCTGAATGGTTAAGACCTCTTATCTGAATTGATCAGACATGTACCTCTGAATAGTTAAACAATATACTAGCTCTTAATGGTTCAGACCCCTTACCTATTCAGAAGTTGCCAAACAGCCCCTTAAAGGAATGGTTTCCGGATCTAAAATATGCTACACTTGATGATTGGGGTACGAAATGATGCGCGTTGATTCGGTTTGGGCTATGCAATGGAGTTGGTTTCATTTTGTTTTTCCATAGACTTGGGCTTCGATTTTGTTGGGTTTGGGCTCTGGTCCAAACTCAACTTCTTCTTTTCAAAATTGTGTTTAAATGTTTCTTTTGCTTTAGTTTTATTGAAAATTAAGATAATTAATATCTTGGATTAGGAAAATTAAAATAAAGAAAACGGAATGCAATAAAAGATTTATAAGATACCCTTTGTTAAAGAAAATTAAAAGACTGTAAAAATAGAAATTAAAATAAAATCAAGTTATACAACTAAAAAAATTTACATTAAAAATATTTAAAGTGTCTAAAAAAGAAGAAAAAAATATTAACTCAAAATTGAGTTATTAACACAATTTTAAAAGAAGCAGTGACTGCTTGTCCAAGCATGTGATGCTTAAAAAGCATTTCATATCTATATACTCCAATGTGCAAATTTTAGAAACAACTACAGAGTATATTTTTGAGAAAAATATGATTCTTTTGACCCTTGAACTTCGGGTCATATTATGACCCGAGACCCCTAAATCCTACCACATCGTTCCCTAGCGACCCTCCACACCACAGCAACCCCTGCTCCCTCTCCCAAATCACCAATTGGCTACAATTTACTATAGCTAATCAGCGATTTGAGGGAGGAGACAGTTTACTGTAGACCTGGCAATCGGGTCAATTGGTTCGATTCGAGTTTAGGTCTTTTCGGTTCGGGTCTCATTCGGATATATGTTATAATCGATTCGGTTCGGTTCGGGTCAGTTCGGTTCCGGGTTTATTTCGGTTTGACCGCTTTTTGGTTTCGGTTCAGTTTCGGTTCGGGTTTGTATCGGATCTGATTTATATCGGATCGGGTTTGTATCGGTTCGAGTTTATATTGATTCAGGTTTGTATCGATTTAGGTTTATATTAGTTCAGATATATTTTAAATATTTACTAATAAATCAATAATATCACATAATAAATTTAATCAATTTATGATATACTCCGTAGTTATTTTATTATTTAACACGGACGTACATAAAATTTAATCAATTTCGGGTCTAATCGGTTACGGGTTTAATCGGGCTCGGGTTTTATTAGTTCAGTTTTAATCGCATTCGGATTTGAATCGAGTCTGAATACATTCGGTTCGGGTTCGGGTTCGGATCATTTTGGGTGTTTGGGTCTATTTCGGTTCTTTAGTTTTCGGGTCAAATCAGATTTGGTTCCGGGTTATTCGGTTCGAGTTATCGGGTCTGGGTCAGTTTTGCCAGGTCTAGTTTACTGTAGCCAATTGGGGGAGGGGGTGCTAGGGTGGGGTGGGCAGATAGGGGGCAAGGGGTAGGATTTAGGGGTTAGGAAGGTATGAATTGTCAATTATACGAACGAAGCACGGTAGGAGGCTCGGGTCATAATAATATGACCCGGGGTTCAAGGGTCAAAAGATCCTTTCCGTTTTGAGAAACACTTTTTTTGAAGATATCCCCGTAATAAATGGTTTGATAACTCTCTTTGGTCTAAAAATTATCTTCCATATGCACGATGTTTTATTAAAATGATTTTCAATCATTTTATATGAAAAATGATATACGTATAGAAATAAAAATTATATATTTAAAATTACTCCATACACAATACATCAAAGGATCCATATAAATAGAGGCAGCATGACCATATTATTTCATCAAATGTGCAATGAAAATAGGTGAACAAAGTAAATAAAATTTGACTATGTGAAAAGTAACATGAAAGTAATTTTTGGACGGAGAGAGTATATGCTTTTAAACTATGTAACTTTGAAAAACACAAGTACACATAAATGTTCTCCCGGATGAACCTCATTCCCAAGAACCTTTCAAAATCATCTGAACGGTCACCTGAGAGAAAATATATTGAGCTATAATTTTAGATTGACGACAGAAAATGAAACTTGCATCTGATAGTTGCAAAGACATTATGTTACGATAGTTGTCTCTCAATTATCATTAATCAAATTCAAATTTACCCCTTTAATACCGTTTACTAAATCAAGTGAACACATAAATATTTTCCCCACTA